GTTTGTTTTTGTTTTTACTGTGCTCCAGTAGGTCCAGATAATTTCAAACTTGTGTTAAGTGCGTTTCATGCTGGCTGAACTACTAAAAATACATTCACTTTACTTAAAGAAAATGTGGAATCCGATTGAAAATGGCAGATTAAATCCATGTTGAGAATAACAGCATTTAAGATGTTTACAGAACACAAAATAACACTGTTAGTTAAATGGAATTAATAAAGTAATCTTACTTTTAAATATTCTAGAGTATGTTAACTAGAACTGACTTTAAAACTACCTTGATATTTATTACTTCATCTACCTGGGAACAGTTTGCTTTCTTTACTTTAAACCAATTCTTAAATTAACTTAAATTAAAGTTTTACTTTTAAGCTTGCTTTGCAAAAATAGGCGATTGGTTTCCAAACTTTTTAAAGTAAACTGAAATTGTTAGAATTGACAGTGTACAATTGCTCACAATTTTTGATCGGATATTTTATGAAGAAGTTTAGCAAATGGTGTGCAACAGATTTAGCCTTTACCTGTTGTGTCTTGCTTAAATATTCTTATTGGCATATTTTTAGACAGCATAGTAATGAACTGGCAGCTTCAACAGACTATTGACTCATTCTACTCAAAGCTGCAACCTAAAATCGCAAGTTTTTTAATGACCAAGAAGTAAAATGCATTATTTCGAATCCTCTGATCACTTATGAGAAGGCAAGAAAATTATGTCTGAAATGCAGGTCATGCAGATAAACACAACAACACAAGAAAACACAGACTCTGACATACATGTACACACATGTCTACAAGCTTGAGGTTTTTCCATTATGAGTCATTGTCACTATGGCAACAGGCTATCAACTCCTTTCCTGTCTTCATTAAAATCTGATTATGAATTTAATTAAATCCCACACATGCACACTCATGTACGCACACACACACACACACACACACACACACACACACACACACATATACACTCGCACCTAATAACGCTATACTTCAACAGACAGGCAACACTTCACTCTATTGTATCCATCTTTAATTTCAAAACTGTTCCCACCAACTCGTGTGAACAAACAAGGTTCAGCAAGTGTGTGTGTGTGTGTGTGTGTGTGTGTGTGTGTTGTGTGTGTATGTGTGTGTCTTGTGAGCTGAGATGACTGGGGTTAAGCGTCCACTCCGCAGACAAAAGCCAAACTCTCTACAGCACTGTGACCTAGGAAACGCCGAGCTCGGTAAACACACACACGCAGACACACACTCTGAGATGGCAAACACTTTGGCTTGTCTAGCATTTTGTGTGCGGATTAAGCAAGAAAACCACTATGATTTTTCACCCCGAAAACTCGTGGCACATTGCTCAAGAAAACCACATAGTCAAAGCCATATTTAAAATCAGCTAAGCGTGTGTGAACCCAAAGCCACTGCTAACAGACATGGCAGGAATATGAGGATGTCTGCTGGCATATTCACATATTCAACCTCTCACTATTTCTATGCATTTAAGTTTCTAATCTTCTCACGAAGCTGTTCTCATAACATAACGTCAGTGTTCCCAGAGAATTCAATAATGTTTTGCTTTGGTTTGCAAGCGCTGTAACACAAGCAGGCCTGATCATTTTAATTTATCATCTGAGGTTAAAGCTGTAATTTCAGCACTACTATTACAAAAATAATTGCAAAACATAACAGAATTACAAATGCAACGCTTATTTTTAAAAAGAGACCACTTCATCTGTCATTGGTCAGTCAAGCAGAGAGTTCCACCCCAAAGTCACACCATTGGTTCAAAATAAAAAAAAAAACAGTTTCTTCAGAATATCTTATTTTGTGTCTTATTTTTGTGTTTAGAATTACATGAGGGATTAATTTATGGATGAACTATCCCTTTAACCTAAAAGAAAAATCAGACACTTCAGCTTCAAGAAGGGATGCCAAACTTTTCATCTCTTCATCCACGGACATAAGAACGTTGATCAATATCTTTCCTTATTATTCAAGAAATGTATGCAGAAGCAGCTTACACAATCACCATTGTAAGGCATTTGATTTGACTTAATAACCAAAGACAGGCTCAATAAAAGCCACACACAGACGTCACAACTGGAGAAATTCCTTCGATGGTCAGAAACACCCACAAACACACTCAAGTTTGCACAGTGTGAAACAGCACTAACGGTTACAGGATGAGGGATGACGGCTATGTGACATGACAACAGTAACGTATGTCATGTAGCAAATATGAGCGGGCATTCGCGCCAAAAGATATGTTTGTGCCAGCTTAATTCAGAACAAAAAATTATAATAATAACTGCCCCCCCCCCACCAACCCCAGCATCTACAAAATTACAGTTAAGACAAAACATCACAGGAAAAACCATTGTTTTGTCATGCACTGGTCAACTTTGAGATTTTGGCCTATTTTTCAGACTAGTGGAAAGAAAACTTCAAAAATACACATTTGAGCGTTGAGCTCTTTATTGATTTGCATCTGTAGATTTCAGTTGCATCACATATCTTTAAAGGAAATTTCCTCAAAGTTTTAGTGTTTTAATTATTATTATTCTTTCTTTTTCCTATCTATATTCTGAAGTTTTTTACAGAGGGGTTTGTTCATATATCTCTGACCTAGTTTATATAACATTTTATTCCTAAAAACAAGTGAAAAGTTTATTTTTATTTAGAAAATTTAATTTCAGAAAACTTGTAATGCAAAATAATTATTTTAAATGCAATGTAATTACCTAGGGTAATTTCCTAATTTACCTAGGGAAGTATCTATTTCTTAAAATGATCACCTGTTATGTCTTGCCTTCAATATTTCAGGATATTTTAATTCACTCTCTCTCTATCAGTGTTTTTTCTCACTCCATCTGTTTTTTTTATTGGTGTTCCACTCTCATTTTCAAACTACTGTTGGGTTTTTACAGAGTTCTTAATGGACTCTCACAACTCTGACCAATCTCTCTCTCTCTCTGCCTTCACACCACCTCTTTTCTCTTTCCTTTAAGGCCCTTTCTTCTTTCTTTCCCGCTTTCTCAATATCCAAACACACACAGCTGGGACGGACCTGCTGTCTGTGAGAAATGTTATCTGAACGTTCTCTCCAACATACCCAATGTTATTCAAAGGTTTTCAAACAGGCCTGGCCTCTGAGGAGACAAAAGGCAGAAATACTTCAGCCGCTACTGTGGCAGCGGCCGTATGTGTGTAACCATAACTCATATTCACACAGACACACACACACAAACATATACGCGCACACACACGTACAGCAGAAGCCGGGGTCACTAGGGCACCCGGCAAGATGAACAAAACAAGCTCTAGAAGGTTCTGTCACCCACTACCAGACCATCCCCCTCAAAAAAAAAAAAAAATAATTCTCACACACGCCATCTAGACACATTAACATCAAACCTGATCAGAGGGGCAGAGGGAGAGGATGCGCAGAGACAAGAAAGAAAGAAAGAAAGAAAGAAAGAAAAAGAAAGAAAGAAAGAAAGAAACACACGTAAAGCAGCATAAAAGAAAGAAGGGATGAGAGAACAGGAAAAGGAGCAAAATAAAGCAAAATGAGATAGACAGAGTGATGAAAGAGGCAGGCAGATAAAAGCTGCACATGTTAGCCACAGATGTAGACGAGCAGAGATAATCTAATGAGGAAAGAACATTCTGTGTGTATGTGTGTGTGTGTGTGTGTGTGTGTGTGTCAGGACATCGAATCAAATAATTCTATCAGAACGTACACTAGCAGTGCTTCCTCTTTCACACCTGCTACCATCTTGCTGAAATTGAGTTGACAGACAGACCAGAAAAATCCTCCATAAGAATCATAAAATCCTGCACACACACTTTCATTGACTTCTACTGTTTTTTTCTTTTCTTTTTATACTGAGCTAATAATATTTCGTATCCCAAACATTCTGAGTTTTTGCATTTTCATTAAAACATTGTTTAAGACGTTTATTAAGCCATTTTCCATTGGCTGGTCCACCAGTGTGGCTCATTTCAGATTTTATTATCCCTGAGGGGACATTTGGTCCCAACAATCTATAGGCACAACTCAACCTCTTCACAAACACACTCACACACAATCTGATGCTTTTAAAAATGAAACAAGTAAACAGTGTTTTGGTAAACACATTAATCTATTTCTTTAACATTTAATTTTAAGATTAGCATTTTACTTGTCACAAACACACACACCTGATAGTTGAGCCTGAGGATCCCAGTGTATTTTTAGGAGACCACACACACAACCATACCATGTCTAGAACATGAACAGTGACTGTATGACTGCAGAAACATGAGCAATATGTGCAGCACACACACACACACACACAGACACACAGACATTTCCTCCATCAACCTCCTGCAAAGTCCGTTAGAATGTTGTTTTTCCTGGTAAAGCTGTTAGCGCTCGCTATCCTTCCTCTCGCTCTCACTGAGCAGCAGATGTTTAAGCGTGTATCTCCTTTTAACTCAATTTAGTCTGTTCATGGTCTGAACCTCTCTTACTGCTGATCCCTAGATGTCCTGCATAACTCAATTATAAACACACACACGTACACACACAATCCTGTCTGGGAGTAATGAGCGAGATTTAGAAGACAGATCTCAAGATTTTGCTGTGTTTCTGCTATAATTTTCCTCCAAATTTAATGTCACTATCTTTTGTTATTAATAAAAATGTATTAAAACCAAATTTACAAACCAAACAGCAACATTTTAACGTATTAAAAAGTCATCCTAGATGTGAAAGATCCCAGATTCAACTGCAGCACAGCAACAGAAATAAATGAAAAAGCAATATAATGTATCTAAAATAAGTAAATACATTTGTAAAAGCTACATTAGTTAATAAACTTTGGAAAAGAGACAAAAATCCAGTTTAAAAAGGCAACAAACGGAGAACTGAGTGAGACAGTGAAAAGGAGAGAAAGAAAAAAGAAAGGGGGTGAGAAAAAAAAACAGGGAGAGGAAAGAGAGGGGCTAAAAGATAAAGGACTCACAGTCTGAAGAGTTTGGTCGTGCCCAGAAACAGCAACTCCGGAAGAACCTGAAGATTATTCCTGTTGAGACGCCTGCAAACACAGACACACGCAGCGACATGAAATCACACAAAACACACAGTGGTGCAGTTTATGTACATTCACAAGTGCAAAATTCAATGACTGTGAGGCACCAGAAATTGTACGAGGTCTATCAGACCTTAAACTATTTGCAGAAAGTCTAATCTAACATGTGGGGTTGTCTGCTGACAAAACCGACAGCAATAAGTTATAAAACAACTGGAATAATCTACCCCAGTGACATATTAAAACATCAGAAAAATATGAACACAGTAAATATTGTAAATAGATTCCATATGAAACATCAGATCTAAATATTTACAGAAATATGCACTGATTGAGCTGTGCTCAAGGAAAATACTTCAAAAGTTTAATGCTATAAAATATTTCAATTTGGGCCTGCCATTCATCAACTTGAGCCTTGACTGTGTGTGTGTGTGTGTGTGTGTGTGTGGCTGGCAGACACTGTCAGTGTGTGGGGGCATCTAGCAAACACACGCAGACAAAGAACAGCCCAGAAAAACAGATGTGGGAAAAACAAACAGAACGTCTCACACAAAGTGAAGCAAAAGAACTTACAGTGCAAATACACACAGACACACACACACAGACACACAAACACATATGCACACACATCATGAAAGGAAATGATGCATATTTGCTTAAATTCAATGACAATTCAGTGCTAAAAAGTAATTTCTCACATTCTCTTGCTCGGTTCTCTGACATGGTAATAAACTGTGTAATATTCCCGACTAGGTCATGTATAATAGACATTGTGCATGACAATCAGCACATATATAATACCCACTGTGCATATTAATGAAGAGTGACGCCACTGCTGTCTGTGTGTTAGATTAATGAGGCTTGAGATTAATCAATAATGTTTTTAATACCAGAATACAGATCGTTCAGAGCAGCTTATTAAGCTCCCAGGTTTTGAGAACTTCTACAACGGCATTATGAAGTCTGCTGATAAAGGGAGAATGTTAAAATAATACAAACACCCGATCAATTCTTGCACTCTGATGTCAGCATGCAAGATTTACCACACGTCAATCACACAAGCCGGAGTTCTAAAGTGAACTCTGCCTGCACAAAGTACGAAACCATCAAGCTTTCACTCTTCCTCGCTGTTTTTACGCCCTCACTTTCTCTGACACACTCTTGCAAACACTCGCACACTCAAACACAGCAGTCGATGACATCATCGTTCAGCTTCTGGGGTTACATCATTCCATTTGAATATTTAATGAATGATGAAATAATAACGAAGCACACAGTGCTGCACACTCCAGAAATGCCCACGTGTTTCACTCAGGCACAGAGGACAGCCTTCCCTGAGGACCCCGCTGCAGAAATACACAAAGACACACACACACGGTGCTTAAAGAGAATAAGATCGACCCTTAAAATAGACGAGTACACACAGACACACACACACTTACAGATAGAAATGCACATAGTCAGACTCTGACACACACACACACACACACACACAGAGATGTGCACTCACAGTCATTTCCAAGGAGGGCCATAAAGTGAGATGACTTTTAATGCCAAAAAAGAGCCAACAAGACTGAACAGAGGAAAGAATGAATTGAAAGTTAGTGTGAAGACACACACTGCTACTGTAGCATAAAGCACACATGATCCGCAATCAATCACATATAGCACATGAGATACGTTTATGGCTTGATTTATAAATCAGTAGGCTCAGACGGGCCACCCACAGTCTGCTCACTGACAGGCTTATGCATATTGCACACAAAACTGGAAAGCACTTTTTTAATTTGGCAAGTGCTAATCTGATTGGCTGAATCTGCCCAACTTCCTTATATGCACAAAAATCCAGAAGGACACAAAGTCAGGTACTGGCCTGATACAATGAGAACATTTGACAATGAAATAATCGTTGGATTTGCGGAAGTTTTCTAAGACAGTGGTATCAAAAAGATATTCAGCGTTTAGTAGCAAGTTAACTTGATATCCACTGTCAGAACTATATGTTAATCTTTGATTTTGCAGTTATTTATCAGTTGTTGATAGGCAGATATTCTGATCACAGAGTCTGTATTCCTTTTTACAATATTTTAAGGTGTTTTCTGAACAACTGTTCATGGCAGCAACCACACCTTTATTTCATTGTACACAGGTCCGGTATAAACTATATTAAATTAAATGAAAAACAAAACAAAAAATGAAACAATACAATAAAAAAAGTGCTTAAATTACACAGTTATTCCTGCGAAAATGGGCAGTTGAGAATGAGCCACAATGTGGACTAGACCATATGCCATTTAGTCAAAGGTCTGCCTGCGTAAGACTGAATCAGTGACCATGACAGTTCGCAGTCTCAATCCACACGCCATTAGCTCACAACCAACAATTAGCCCAACAGTGTGTGTTTGTAAAGAAATAAAAGGGGAAAAAACGGGAAAACAAGCTGCATCACAGAGGAAGGAAAGAGAAGGCATGAGGAAAGGACTGAGATGAGAATGAGAAAAAAGTCCTTCTCCATAGGCTTACTTTACCTGACTGCATTGCTCATGACTAGCAAGCCGTGACGAAAGGTGTTTGTGCATATGTGTGTGTGTCTAACAAGGGGGGTCATACGTGGAACAGAGTCACCACTTTTCCTCCCTACAGGAGGTCGTCACACCCAATACCTAAATGCATCCCCAATACGCATACACACACACACACACACACACACACACACACACACACACTCTCACACATATTTATGAAGGGCCCTTGGTAAGGTCATTATAATGCCTGTGCGTTCTAATCCTCTCAGCTATGCAGTCACCCTCCAGCATTAGACTCCTGCTTTTGTACAGGCACAGTTGGACTGATCTTACACACTGACTTTAGCTGTGCTATTCAGCGCTACCGCTAGCTCCTCTATCCCTACACTTATCACTATAAAGAGCTATTCATCGCCACCATTCGCCCGCCTAACCCTTCAGTTATGCCAACACTGCACAATTTACGCCGAAAGCAAGTTTGCTATTATTACAAGCTATTACCAGTTAGCTGTTCTTTATGAGCTATATGTCACTGCACAAAGCCGCATTCACAGCTAATGCCATTGACCCTTTCGCTAGTTAGCATTCAGAGTCACACACAGCTAATACTAATCCTTTATTAAACTAAAACTAAAGTTATCATACTTGTGAGTGAATTATATGTGTTTCTCACAGAGCCGAGTTGGCACAAGCCTCTTTTGGTTCAGCTGGGTTGGTCGCAGTCATTAAACATTTCCTCACACCAAATTAAAAGGTAATGACTAGCAGAAAAATAGGATAGCATTGAGCAGGTGATTGACTGAGCCTCACGCGGCGTGGCTCAAATGCCAGTTCTAATATGACTGTGTGTAAACTGAACATCTGCCAGTCACCATTAAGCGATGGTAATTGACAGTCAATCATCTTAAAGTAAGAATACTGTTTCTACAATTAGAATCTAGACAGTAAAATAGTGTTTAAGCCCTCCTTATGAGAGAAATAAGTTTTTGTAGGGAATTTAAGATCCACATGGCCTTTATCCGTTGTATAATACATTACTGTACTGCACAATAGTCTTTATTAATTGTAATCCATTATTAATTACCAATTCGCCCTGGGTTCCTCTGTGAATTTAAAATGGGTTTTTAGAATTGATGAGTAAAATAAGTAAGTGTGCAGTGTAGTGTGCAGTTACTGAGTAAAAAGAAAATCACAATGCATGAGTAAAGTAAGATCAGTAGTGAACATTATCTTTAGAGAATGATATACAGTATATATATATATAAAGTTAGGTGCAATGTACTTATTGTGTTCATGTTGTAAAAACATGTACACTTCAAGTTTGTGGTATCAAATGATTCATTTAAATGTTAGTACATAGTAGTACTATAAAGTAGTTCATATAAAGTGAGTCAGATAATTTTGTAGTATAACGTAGTTTAGACACAGTTATACCTGAAAAATGAATTTCATAAGCATTGTTGTCTTGAAAGTCCCTAACAAGTTACTACATTGAAAAAAATGTTAATCTAAAAATATGCTTCGTGCATACGGCATGCAGGAAAAAAATAGTAGGCTAAATCGTGCGCACGATTTATAAATCGAGGGAAACGAATTAGTAAATTGTGCACACGATTTAGCAAATTGAGGGAATTAAATAGTAATCATGTACACATTTTAGTACATCGAGGGAACGAATTAGTAAATTAATTTATTTTTTCTTGCATGTCATGTGCGGGGCTCCGTAGCTTCATGCTGTAACATATAAATTGTAACATATAAACAAAATTTAAGGGGTAGAAATAGCTCCTTAAGGTCAGTTCCTTGCAGTTCACCACTTTCTACAGTGTACATAAGGACTACAACAACAAGGATTTTAGTTTATATGCTGGACAAATCAGACAACCGTAGCAACTTGTTAACCAGAAACCTTATTGTACTCATAAATGGAAAGTTGCTTTTCTGAAAACCCATTAGAAATTCCTCAGGTGAGCTCCTGGCTAAAAAAATGCTAATTTTGTTCAGTGTTTGCTCTATATTAATTTGTCGTACTGGATCATAGTGTATAATATGTGTACAGCATTAATGGAGATCTGCAGTACACCAAGTGCACCACTTTAAGAAACTGACGAAACCTAAACTTTTGTCTGAGTCAATGTGTGTGTTCCCCTGAGGCTGGGTTGGCTGTCAGACAAAAATGTTGCTCCATGAAATCCTGACCACAATGTGCGCACACACACATGCCCACAACATACAATGTCCACCATTAATATATGAAAACACACACTTGATTGTGTAATGTCATTTTGCAATTAATTGTACTCAGAGGTCACACCGTTAATGTTAACACACAAATACGCTACTGACTTTTAGCCCTACCAGCCAGTGCAGCATACATTTATATTAAAGCAATTACATTTAACAAAGCTATTTTTAAAATTAGCCTGATGAAGAGAAATATTTTATATTTTACGTACTTTAACTTTTTTGTTGTTTTTGTGATAAAATCTACATTGTGCTTTTTTGCATGCAAAATAAACTTTTTAAACATTTTGGGGTTATATGCATTCTAAACAAAACAAGAAAATTAATAATAACTAGTTCCTACTAGCTCTAACAACTAGTTCAGTACTTACAGAACTCTGAGGTGCCGCAGTCCCGCGAAATCTGCCTTAGTGATTTTAGTCAAATTGTTTGCATTCAGGTCACTGTGGAAAGAAGAGAGGGGGTAAAATGATGAATAATGACTTGCGTATTTAGTCATAATTAAGAAGTCTAAATTAAGCCATTAAGTGGTAAATGATGCTAGGAACCATTTTTTTCCTTTTCGGGACACTTCATTACACTGGCCTACACTACAAATATATATATATATATATATATATATATATTTTTTTTTTTAAGAATCCCGACTTTGAAGTCATGAACTTGCAGACTAAATGGGCTTTTCCTGGAGTGAGAGAATCAAATAATTCCCATGCATGCACCAATGCAGTGAATGAACTCCTGTGCGTTGATTCTCTCCGTTCTCACGCTCGGATTCAAGTTGTTGTAGGTGAAGTGCGGCTCTCGGACACGGGATTCTCTCTCTGTCAGACTAACATGGAATTGCTCTATATACACCGGGAGCGGCTCCACCCCCTCGATCCGCCCCGCTGGCCGCATGAGCCCGAGCCGTCTGTCTTCTACGGCACTACCGCTCTGGGGATATGAACAGCTATCACGAGCAGTCTAAAGACGGTAGCCGATGCGCAAGTGACGCACAGAGGGCTAACAAGAAAGGCAGCATCTGTTTCTTGCTTACACACTCTCTCTTTTTCTTGTGAATGAGGTAAATGGATGGTTGGCTGTTTGGTAATTGCAGGGAAAGTTTTGAAACTGTCTTAATCAATCTAAGCTGTTTAAGGAGATTACAGATGAGTATCTACAGATTTGAACCCAGATTCCAGTTAACCACAACAGGAACCAAAACCAGAGAGAGGTGGAGAGTTTTGCCTGGGAGACAGAAGCAAAGGAAGGTAGCAGGAATGACCTCAATCACCTTCTCAGTATGCACCTGCAGGGTAGGGAGAGGTCAAGGGTCAATTGCAGCTCCTGTGAAGCTGAAACACGCAATTATACATACCCACACTAATCTAAAAAATGTTTTTGACTATTTGTTATTCATTCCTTTGTTTATTCATTAATTCTTTCTTTCATTCTCATGTACACAGTTATTTGAAATGTATAAATGTTTCATATTGAATTCCTTACTACGTATTAATTTGAAAACCAACCTACAATACTCCCTTTACCTGTTTGTCAAGATATGCTAAGTATTTGAGGTAAAAAAAAAAAAAAAAATAGAAGCATTTTTTTTCTTAGTGTGAAGATGACTTTAATAATTTCAAGGAACTTTTGTGCGATATAAAGATGTTATGTATGTTAAAGTTTCTTCATGGCTATATATGAAGAGTTCATTTGCAAAAACAGATAACTGTTTTTAACAATTTTCAAAAATCATGTTTTTTTCATTGTGCATTCCAATTATTCTCAATCAAACTGCTGTTGGGTTATTTTGACAAAGTAAAAATAACTAAAGAAAAATACAGCTAACTAACACAATAAAACACAATAAAAACATGATAATATAATAAAAAGCATGATTTTTTTGGGGGGGGAAATTGAGTTATCTGTTTTTGCAAATAAACTCTTCATATGCTAATAAAGAACCTTTACTTAGAGTGTATATTAAGTAATGTTAGGTATATACCCCAAGTCTTAGCTGAATGGCAAGCCTGTTGTAGAAGATAAAATTAATTTGGTCTTAAATGGCACTTGTCATGGTTTTAGGCTGATTCATATAAATACACCTGTAGTTTTTTACTGTGTCCTACAGGACATCTGTTAATAATTAGAAAGTGTAAAAACATCAGTAAAAGGAATTCAGATGATAACTGAAGCAAACCCTTTTTTAAATTGTATTCCAGCTAATGTGTTAAACCAGCATCAGTTTATGGTCAATGACAAATAAAACAATGAGACAAATAAAGAAATGGCAACATCTTTTAAAATCTACTTTAAAATAATCCAACATTCTTAGAAATGTAATCTTTGTATTTATGTTGGTTATACGGTTTTGAAAAACTTTTATACAACTTAAATTTCATGTGGTGTAACCATCAAGTAAAAAGTAATCACATATTTTCCTTACACCGTGAGGAAACCATAAACCATAAACGTGAACGTACATCTTTATTTTATGTTCCAAAAGAAATATATCTTCAAGCTAAAAAGTGTGTTTTACAAATATCTTGAATTCATAAATATCATTATGTTTTTCTGGAGATATACTATATGAAGCTAAACTAAGTGCTGTAAAGTAAGAACTGCAATGATGCCAAACCAAAATGTCTGACCTAAACCACTGAATCAGTCAATAAGGGTCTGCGAGAGTTCAGTATATCCACAAAGGCGGCATTCCACCTTTAAATAAAAATGTACAGCACACTGTAAAATTATTTTGATAATCACTTAAACTGACAATTATTTATTGAATTAA